AAAGGGATGTCCAACAGGAGATAACTCAGTTAGTGCAGAAGGAAGAAAAAAAGAAGAAATCTGACTAAAGTGAGTAAGACATGAGATTTGTGGAGATATTTTTAAAAGAGGAGACACTAGAACAGATTGCCAAGAGAAACTGTAGATTCTCTATCCATGGAGTTCAGGCTGGATTGGGCTTTGAGCAACCTAGTTTAGTAGAAGGTGTCCCTGCCCATGGAAATGAGATCATCTTTAATGTGACTTCCAACCAAACCTTCTTTGTGATTCTATGATTCTCTTACAGCTGCATAATCCACTTGCTCCATTGTGACCACTCACTGATAGGATCACTGTAGTCACTTTTCCAATGACAGCAGCAGTTTTGGTGGATGTGCCAGTAAAGTGTCATGAGGACAAACAGCAGGATAAATGTGCAAAATTTCAACCAGAGAACTGTAGAAACAATTTTTTACCCCTCAGCTCTGCATTAATAATAATAAATGCACATTGCCATTGCATTCAGCACTTTAAAACCTCTTTTAAGCATTAACAGAATCTTAAACCTTTACAATTTAGAAGACTGTTTTCCAAAAGGTAATGCCAGAGTTGAAGTGTCAGGCTGATAGTAAAAGAGTGCACTAACATATAGTGAAGAAAAAGAGGAATTTTTCATATGTACAGACAAAACAAAATTGCTTTACCCACATGGACTTCACAATGCACCTCACTGAAGCATTAGAAACTTTACTAACCATGGGGAAAGAAAAGTAGATATCAGTTGCATCACTCTGAGGCTGGCAGCCAAAAAAAAAAAATCAAAAATCAGAATGTTTATTTTCAGTTGTTCCAGAACTGGCTTCATTATGTGACCAGATGTTGCCTTACGCACTTTTAATCAATGTGAAACATTTAACCTGGATGCACACCCTTGTACTTTCTTGCTTCTAAAAGGTTTCTAAAAAACCAAGATGCCAAGTTAGATCAAACATCCCTATTAAAGAATTGGAAACATTGACAGCACTTCTATTGAAGCAAATGAAGGGAGAATAGCAATGAAGAATGCTAAATCAGTAATAAAACCCTATTTTTTTTCTTTATTTTAATGGCTACAAATAAAATATTAAATGTACAACCAGATCAGGTTGTGCCAAACCCTCCTCAGCTTTAAAACCATAGGTCCAGGACACTCCATTTGACACTAGTTATGTGACATCCTGTTTAACACTGCTGGGCTGAGAAATTGCCACTTCTGCTATTCTTGAACCATCAGAAATGCAGATCGGGAGAGTTTCACAAAATCCTTGGGAACAGATGCTTTTCTTCTGGTTTATTTCTGCTCAGCAATGACCATTTAGAATGAAGCCCTCTGTATATCCCATACTATTTCCAGATGTCAATTCAGCATCTCTTTAGATGAGAACCTCAAGAAAAAGGGGGTTGCCTATAGCGAACAACAATATCAATCTCCCCAGATGAGTGTGCAAAACTGATATGAATATTGAGTATCAAGAATGACATATTAGTTTTGTACTGACAAAAAAGAAATAAGGAGGAAACGTTAAAAACACCTGTCTATTTCCAACCTTGACTATCATCTATGTTCTGATTTATGTTAATTCCACTCACTATATTGTGATCATAGCAGTCTATCCCAACAACACGTGGGGTCAAAAAATACATTGGGATGGAAATCCTTAAGAGTCACTATACTTGTTATTTTATTTGTAATGAGAAGTATTTGTTTTTCATTGTGGTGTCAGGGTTATATCATGAGCAAATTCTCACTAATTTTTTGATTTTGAGCCTTTTCGAACACAGGAGACCTTCACATAGAATTGCAGTAGTTTCTATGTACTAAATGCTGCAAGAATCATAATGGCCTTGGCTCATATTTTGTTAGCAAGGGCAAATTTCTTTTAAAGAAAGAACTAATTACTTCTGTTTCAGATTCCAAATTCCCTCCAGGTTGCATTGTAATGAGATTCAAAAGACACGCCAGAAGTGAGTTGAAAGCACATTTGGCATATTTAAATATGCATTCAGATAAACTCAATAAATCTGTTGATACACTGTTATCTATTGCTCTATACAATACCCTGACATGTTATTCTTTATAAAAAATCTGCCATTAAACACCCTGCATTTTTAGTAAACAAATGCAAAATGTTCATCAGGGACTAACGATATATGAGTGTGGAGAAGCTTTTTCTCCACAGCAAAAGAAAAGTAAAATAAAGAGCAAAAGTACAAAAGGCAGTTTTAAAACAAACAAACAACAAACTGAAATGAAAATGTAAAAGAGGCAATAAGTGATGACTTCCATATTGCATGGATTGAAGCCTCACCTGTTGTGAGGACATGACAGCATTAAAAGTTAGATTTAAAAGAGGAAAGAAAGACAAATATTCTTAGAGAAGCATCGAGGCTCTCTTGATTGTATAAATATGTACTTCTATACTGAAAGATGTCTTTGTGGCAATGGCATCTTTTTATTCAGCAGGATTGCATCGCCATTCACATCACAGAGAGTGTTTTACTAGATTTTGTTCTCATTAGCTCCGTGCAAACAACTGAACTAAGAGTGAGAACACTGAATCCTATTCTTTCTTGAGCATTGTTTACCAGATCTCTCACTAACTTCCAATCAGTTCCACCTCTGCAATTTTATTGAAGGCAATGAGTTTCCACAGGTATTGTCATATACCATAATTAGAAAGCAGTCTCAGTTCAGTGAGGCTTTATTGGCTTGACAAGCCATACAGAGCTTATAAGTGTGTAAGAGGAGAGAGAACATTGCCAGCTCTGTCAGAAATCAAGTAACATCCACCTAGGAAAAAGTGACTTTTTGAGCCTGAGCTTTGAACTCCTGTATTGCCAATATCTGCAGCGCATAGGAATTAGACAACCTCCTCTCAGATGTTTGTGATCATTTAGGAAGTTTTATATTCATGCTTCATGTTTCTAGTCCAGGCTGAAAGAGTTGCCATATAAGTTCAGGTTTCATATTCCTTAAGCACATTTAATGAAAGTGATTTTATTTTCCTAAGCAAGTGTTCATTCTATTCTCTATCATTCTTTTGTTGCTTTGTAATAACCCTTATGAGTGGTGATAACATACACACAAAATTGTTGTTCTGCTTCTTTGTATTTTGGTTAGCAAAGCAGATAATCTCAGCAACCTGCCTGAACATTTGCTGTTGCACTTCAGTACTCCCCTAATGTCAATGACAAGCCTGGGGCTCTTGGTAGGAAAATTAACATCTCAGTTAGATTTTCTGCAGGGATTTTCTAAGCGCTTCTCAGTACCAGGTATCTCTTTCCTACTGTTAAAGAAATTTCCCAGAGAGATCAGTCTGCACCAGCTGCACTCCCAATGTCACAGACTGTCACTGCTAGGACTGTCACCCTTCACAGGGGTGGCTCCAGTGACCCAGTGAGTCCCTGCCTGGGTCCCTGCACACCCACTCACAGTCAAACCAGGCTTCATCACTGGCTCAATCCCAGGATTTCTATAGCAGAGCCTCAAATGTCTCATTGCACAATGCCATTTATCCACAGTGCAGTAAAACACAAACAGTCTGGGCTGGTGCCTCCAAGGAGGGACCCAGAGCAAAGGAACCCCTGGGCTCTCATCCCCACACAGTCCAAGCACATCAAGTCTCTCTCCTTCTCCCCAGCCATCAGCTCCTGCTGTGTCTCTCAGTGTCCCTCACGTGGCTGTGCCACAGCTCCCTGTGTCCTTTGCTGTGCCAAGGGTGGCAGCTCACAGCCTCTTGTCCCAGGCTCCCACAGAGAGCTACCTCTCTGAGTTGTGTCCCTCACATAACAAAGTCCTGCCCTTGTTGTTACAGTTGTCCCACCTATTTTTGACCAATTTAGATCCTTTTGGAAATGTGGATTTCATCAACACTTCCTTGATGAGACTTGGCAATGGCATCATTGTGAAACATGTTGCCACTTAAATCCTTATTTTACTCACTTTTGCTATGGACATATGTCCCCCTGTACCAACTTTCCATACAAAATAAACCCAGATTTAAGTGATTCCAGTCCTACGTTTCTTAGCTTATTGGATTAACTCCATGAAATAGTCTATCATGATCAATAATAGAATGATAATGAAATACCATACATTATAACCTTCCAGCTTGTCATTCCATCGCACTCTTTGCCTCCTGTGCAACCTTGTGGACAGTTGCCTTCTCAATCCTTAAAGTAACCCCACCACTCCTTCCCATAGGTACTTTTGACCTTGTAATCAAATGGAAAGACCATAATCTCCTTCCTCACATTTGCTCATTCAGCTGCTTAAAATGAGGTTTCTTTGTCAATTTACTGCTAAAGCATAGTTGCCTCAAGTAGTCTCCTTGCACCCATACTTTCTTCTGACTAAATGAATCCCTTATCAGTGTTTTCACCTTTGCCACCATCTTTGCAGCTTCTTTATTTCTATTTTTTCCCCAGCTGCAATAACCTCCAGATTATGAGCTTTAGTTAAAGCCCTGTTAAAAATTGTGTCTTGCTACTGGTACATGCATTTATTACATTCATTTGCATTGAGTTAAAAATACAGAAACACATATGCATTAAAATCCTGGAGACTTGCTTTTGGGAAAGAAGGCTATGTTCATACCTATGGCTCTGCATCAAAATATAGGCACAGAGACCTCCACTAGGTTTCAGAGATCTCTGAATTTCTTAGAGTCATACTCAACTGCATGAAACTATTAATTAATACTATACCCTTTGTCAATGGATAATGGGGACACTGACTTTCAGCAAGGTAAACTTTTTTTTAGAGCTAGGTAGAGATGGAATAATTTCTGGTTCAGTGCTCATGAATTCCAATGCAGGTTCCAACAGTTACCTCTCTAAAGCCCTAGGAAAGTAATTTTACCTGTTTATTTCTTTATGAGACTATTACTCCATTTTTGTACTGAAAGAATTAGGTGTTTTAAAGCATGCCCTTACCATGGAAATACCTTATTCCTAGAAAATAAAGGTATAACATCTCTCACCTCTTTCTTCTGCCCCTTCTCCAAAATGTCGAAAGCCCATATGCCACCAAAATCAAGGAGAAAAGTGAATGGGTGTGCAGAGATGTACCAGTCTGTCAAAACGGAAGGCAAGAAGGAAACAGTTGAGCAGGAAATTTACCCTTATAGCAAAATAACCCAAAAAACCCCACAGTCATGAATAATTCAAGGAAAAGCCCCAAACTCTCCTTTTCCATTGGGAATATATTTGTGAGCCTTTTAAATAAATCAAAGTCATTGCCTACAAGTTCACCTTATCAGGAAAGAAAAAAAAAAGATAGTTCATTAATACATAAATCCAGGCAACAAACCAAGACAACCTCACCTCCTTCCACTTGCAAGTTTCCTGGCCCATCCAGCTGCCAATCCACTGGGAACACCCAGAGCTATGGGACCCTCCTGCATCCCAGGAAGCAGGTGAAACCTGGCAGCTCTGAGGGAAGCAGCCTCTGATAAAAACCTTTCCCACTTCACCAGCTGCTGCCAGTCATCTCATCACAGACTTGTCAGGAGTGGAAAGTATCAGCTCAGTTTGCCCCTTAGAGGTATAAACAAAGCATTTACAAAGTTGTCTGTAAGAAAGTATTTTCTCACTATAATTTTTCAGATGCTGTTAAAAGTTTCTTTCAAATTAAATGGAATGTGGGATTTAAAAAGAAGAAAAATAACGCTTGATCAAATTTATAAAATAAATTAACAAATAGGTGGTGTTCTTTCATGAAATGACAGAAAGTTGATGGTGTTCCTCTAGGTCTTCACTTTTATTTTCCTTCAAAATGAGTTGAGATGCAAAAATAACAAAAAATTATATAAGATGAAAACCAGAGGAAATTCTTTTCACAAAGTTCTAGTAATTTCCTATCATCTTCCCACTTAAGAACCTGAACCTTGTTTTATATATAACTTTATGTCCCCAAATGACTTTTTCTCCTTATAAAAGTCAATCACTTCTCTAACGTAAAATATGCTTAGGTACAGCAGATTGTTGCATAAAGTAACACTGAGTAAGCCAATATATTAAAATGGTTAGCTAGATTTTTCTGCTGAAATTTACAGAAAAAAATAGCATTGTTAACCTGCAAACCCTTAGATATATATTCTGAAATCCCATATTTTAGAGCAATTCAGATCTGGGACTTATAACTTTTCATCCCTCATTTAGATTCTTGTTTATTGAAAGGTGACCTGTTCTTCACTGATCCTGGGAACAATTATGCACATTCTAAAGTCAATATGCTGTAAGTAATTGTTGCAATGACCCTTAGTGCATATAAAATCAAGTAGGCATGTATATCCTAGTAAGTTTTAGGCCATAATTTATTTTACCACACAATTTATATTTTGGTCACTTTGTTTAGATTAGTAATGAAGAACTGTAAGAGAGGCCTTTGTGAAACTTGGAGAAATCAGAGACAACAATTGTGTGAGTCACCAGCATAGCCTGCCTCTTTCTACAATGTCTAGGCAAATAGTACCTTATTAAGATTTCTTCCATTTCTAAATAAATTGTCATCAAGGCTAAAATGATGCACTGAGAAGTGTTTCTGTCCATTTCTTCATTAAAAGAATTCTCCAGGCTAAGTCCTTTGTGCTTCATCAGGAATTCACCAAATTCAGTCAGTCTCTGGAAACACAGGGATCTCCTTGCATGAAACTCATTGCATGCAACCTGAGCAGGACCTTTGGAAGAAAAATGGTTCTGTCTCTCCTCATAACTTCAGCAGAAAAAGACCTGAAGGCTTGGCTTCAGGATCCTGAGATATATGGCAGCCAAGAGACCAGCTTGCAGGTTTCTGGTTTTGTGAGAGTATTTGGAAGCTTGGATCCTGCCAGAAGGGAGATTTATCACAGGGAATTCTATGATGCTCTGCAGCACAAACACTTTTAGTGGAAGATCTTATGTGTCAGGAATGCAAATTAAAATACCTATTCTCTACAACAGCTCTCAGGTAACAAAAAATAGCGGTATAAAGAAAAAATATGTGGCAAATAAGAAGAGCAAGGAAAGTTTCCCAGAAACTTTTGCAAAGAAGAAATAAACAATGCTGTTCCCCAATCACTGAAGGATATAATGGTGATTGGAGAGACAGAAACAACAAAGAACAAAAAGGAAGAGAAAAGAAGTAATGTAGAGGAGTTACAAACTTAGTTTTTGCAGTTTGAAAGGCACTGAAGTGTGGCCTTTTTGGCTTATTTGTGAAGCATGTAGCAAATACAACAGAACAGTGTGGAAGTTCAGCTGTGACTCACTGTGTATGTGGATTGCACAAGGACTTGATCTTCTTGAAACAGCAAGGTAAAAAGCAACACTTCTATAAAAACAGGTAGCTTTGCATCTGTATAGTTTTACTTAAGTATCTATTCAAGTCTTCCATAAATTTGTGCAAACAGAAAAGACACTGTGAATAACACCAGACATCAGAATTGAGTGTCAATTCTTGAAATGAAGAAAATTCTTAAAATCAGGGTTCGTGAAAAACAAGAGTCTCAAAGGCTTCTTAAAGACTCAAGTATGTCTTCCTTACAGTCAAATAAAAAAAAAATTACCCTTTAGAAGTAAGGATATCTGCCTCTGTTTCACCAAAGAAGTAAGTGAAATGTATGTATTTTTGCATGACCAAAGTATGGGGCTACAAAATCCTGAGGCTCCACAAGAACCTTCAGTGACAGGGGCATTCCAGATCATCCCCTCACAGCTCCCTGTTGTGAGCCTCCCTCCAAAGTTACCTGTGTCTTGTTTTTAACAACATAAATTTCTGTGCCTAGCAAGTCTTGCCTCCCATTTTAGGATCCTCACCTTCCTGTCTTGCTCATTTCCTCCAAGGCAAGTCCCTTTTTACAGGAAGTAAATAGTTAAAGACACTTCCCTGCCTTCTCCTCACAGCCTCCTTTGTCATCCAAAGGCTTGGAAGCATCTCCTACATGTGGCAGCAGCTAAGTATGGTCTAATTTAATGTGTGAATTTCAGCTCATTCTTATTCAACAACAGCATTCGAGCATATGTGAGCATTTCAGCTTGTGGGTAGGTTCTCCTGAAGTCAGCAGGGTTGCAAACACAACTTTTATGTCTTGCTGGATCATATTTTACATATTTTCAGAGTGATCTCCTCAGTGCCTGGCCATGGTGTGAGCAACAGGAGTCAGTTCTGTTCTGAGCAGCCATTCCCCCGATGCACTGAGCAGGGCATTACATAGATATGCGTATATGCCTATGTATAAACATGCACAGCTATAGATATATGTATATTTGAGATGAATACACATCCCACACACATTGCTTCTGACAAGATATGAACAGTGCCGCTCTTCTTCCAAAGTCCCAGCTAGTTTATGTTAGGATATAATCACACTGACTCAGGTGGAGAAAAATACCACCAAAAGCTTTCAAAGCCTGGCCAAATTCACCAGGTTTGTGTCAGAGACTTTGGCCTCAGACGTAAGGCCTTGATTTGGACACTGACAGACTCTCTGATAGACACCTGATATGGACACTGATAGGCTTTCCCTACTTTCCAGTCCAGTTCTTCCCAAGCAAGTATGTCTACCAGCTAGACTTTGTTCTCCTGTCAGGGCCAGGAGCCTGCAATCTCCAGGCTTGGCTGGCAGCCTGGCTGCCTCCTGCTGCTGCCTGGGAGCCTTCAGGCAGCCCGTGCTCACCCGCTGCCCGTGCTGCCTGCCAAAGCCCGTGAGGAACCACGCGCCACCGGCCACCCGGCACGGAGCCCCGGCTGCCTGCCACCCCCTGCCCAAGCCCAGCGACCCACCACACGTCAGAGAGGTGCCATAAGATCTGGTTTACCAGAGTTTCCTCTGCCCAAGCCCTGCCCTCACTTCAGCCTGTCCCTAAGGCCTTGTTCAGCCCTGTGCCAGCAGCCACCGCTGCTCTTTTCCAGTGAACGCTGGTGGCTGCAAAGCGCTGTGGAGTGGCAGCCCTGGTCTCTTCCAAGAAGCTCTGCCACCTGCCCTTCTCCTCCAGCAGCTGCTGAGCTATTCCTGATCACCTCTCCCTCCCCCTAGGTCTCACCCTGCACACTGGGTTAGAGTGAGGACCCTCATGTCCTACACACTTTGTGCACTCGGTGTCCCCGGTTCCCCTCTCAGGGACAAGGCAATGGCTGCTGCTGCTCACCTTGGCTGGGATTGATGAAAAACTCCACCTCCCACCACAGCTGCATTCCTCTTCTGCTTTCTTGCTCCCAGAAATGCCACGTCTCCCAGGTGTTTAGTCCATTCCTTCACATGCTTTGGGCACTTAGAACATAAAGGAAGGGCCAATCTGTCAAAGGAAGGGCAGTCACTGCTATTGCTCTGTGACATTTGTAGCTTCAACCCTTGCCATCTTGCCAGATGTTGCAGAAATATTCAAACTGCTTCTAGAATAGTAAGAAATAAATTTTGAAAAGTTTTAAATCTGTTTAAAAATACTACTCCTAGCACCAGCGTTATTTAATCTAATAAACTGTACTTGTATTTAATGTCATGCACAAATAGAGTCTGCATATTGAAATGCTTAGGGTGATCTCTTGTTTGCTAGTCAGTACAGGAAAGTGCTACATCAACAACAGGAACAATTCCTCCTTCCTAAAGAGAAGATGATTCTAACCCTAGATTCCCTGGAATCCAGATTCACCAGGTTTACCCATGCCCATGGTCCCTGGGAGATGAGCATTTCTTGCTGTTCCCATGGTATGAGTTGCCTGTGAAGGCTTCTGCAAACTTGTCCCTTGTGCCTCATCCCTGAGACCCTGCACTGGAGATCTAGAAGGAAGGATCTGCACTCAGCTGTTAACATTGCTTCTCAAATTTTTAACCTGAATCAAATGTTTAATGAAATATGAAAGAGATGCAAGAGCAAGCAGAGGTTAATGCAAAATTAATTTGCCAAAAGAGGATCAGAGATGCCAGGCTTAACTATGAAGTTAGCGATGAAAAAGGTAATTTCAAAATAAAAAAATAACTAAGACAGGAGAAAGAGGTGTGTAGGAGAAGGAGGAAATAAGCGAAGAAACAAACAAAGGGAGAGACATATTTGTCCTGAGTAGTCTTTTATCTGTTTCTATGATTTCTCAAGCTCTTGAGTTCTAAGCCAAGATCAATTGGGATTAATCAGTTGTATAGAAAACACTGAGAACTCATTGCTGGCTTTTAGAGTTTAAATTTGTTTATTGAGCACAATTTGGTTAGCATCAGGTGCTGAAGTTACAGACACCAACACTAGCATAGAAATTACTTTATTTAGCTCCCAGTTGGAAGTTTCTATAGCAACTGGGTCCTATAACAGAAAGCTGAGTTTCTGCCACACAAATACTACTGCTGATAGAGATTGTTAATACTGTATTTTTGGAGCACTCAGCTGTTCCTTAATTCTTTGTAAGCCCAAACCCCCCTTTTTCTGAGGTCTTTCTTCAGCATAAATCT